CCTTGTCCTTGTCCTTGTCCTTGTCCTTGTCCTTGTCCTTGTCCTTGTCCTTGTCCTTGTCCTTGTCCTCCTTCTCCTTCTCCTTCTCCTTCTCCTTCTCCTTCTCCTTCTCCTTCTCCTTCTCCTTCTCCTTCTCCTTCTCCTCCATCTTTCTCCCTCCCTCTCCCGCTCCTTCTTCTCTCTCTCCCTCCTTCTTCTTCTTCTGCTTCAGTGGGCCTCGCACCCCCTGTCCTGCCGGGACGTGTGGCAGTGCCAACCACCGCCACGGAGCTGCTGATCCACCTCAGCCACCGGCCCAGGATCTCAGCTCATCCCTGCTGTTCCAGCCGACTGTTCCTCAGAGCCCTGCAGGAGCACCGGGACTGACTGCCCAAGGGGTTTGTGAAACAAAGCCTCTCCTCCATCCCTTCCTGTCTCAGCCAAGAAAGCTGTCACGGGGTCCCTGGTTCTGTTTTCTTGTTAATGCTGTAGTTGTTTGTTTATCTTGTTATAAATATTAGTAAAGAACTGTTATTCCTATCACCAAATCTCTGCCTGAGAACCCCTTGATTTCAAAATTATAATAATTAGAAGAGAACGGGTTTGCATTTTTTCATTCCAAGGAAAGTTCCTACCTTCCCTAGCAAACACCTGTCTTTCAAACCAATACAGATGTCTTTTCCAACCCAAATGATTCTATGATTTAGAGACTATAGAAGTAACCAAAACTCACTGCAAAATCTAGGATTGTTTCCTTGTGTATTTGAATATTCAATTGCCTTTGAACTATTCAAAGTCCGTTTGTGTATTTGGTGTTACCTATTTCTGTTAAACTGTTTCTAACAGTTTTGCCTTTTATTTTTAGTCTTACCTCTTTTCTTATTAGTTTAGAGAAGTTTAGTCTCTTTAAAGTTTAGAGAGATTTTCCAGATCCTTTGTCATAATGCCCCTCAAAGACCTTGCACTAGCACTGTTTTATAATTTCTCATGTATTCAAAGATTGTAGTCTCATAGTGCTTTTCTTTGTATCCTAAAGAATTTCTTCTGTGGTTTGTTAAAGTTTTATTGTATTTTCTAGAATTCTACTCTACATAGTACATTTTTAAAGTTGTTTTTTGTTTTTTTCTGTTATTTTTGTGAGATACCAATTGCACAATATGTCTTTATTTCACAGGTCATACAGTTTATGAAAAAAAAATTAAATGTTTATTTATTTCATCACCATTGTCTCCTTATATCAAACACTGCCTCAAGAATTTATAATATTCAGATATATTGCCTCTGTTGGTAAATTTTTCTGGTAGTCTATCTTTGCAGAATAAACCACTTATTATCTTATACTTTAAACTCTTGGCACATTTTAATTTTGTAAATATTCACTTCTATGTTTTATTCTCCAACCCATGTTCCTGAAGGCCATGTCATAATAAAGATGAAAAATATTCAAAAACAGTTTAAATCTTGGAAATCATTGACAAATTCTAAGCACTCAAATGCCACTGAAATCACTAAGATTGCTGGTCTCAGCATAGTGTCTAAGTACCTTAATAAGCCTGAATTTCTCATTTTAGATGGTTTTATAGAATCAGAATGGTTTGGATCAGGAGTGACCTTAAGGAACACTGAGATTCACCTCCCTGACATGCTCCCTTCCACCATATCAGCTTGCTCAGAGCCCCATGCACCCTGGCCTTGAAAAATTTTAGGGATGGGACACAACTTCTCTGAGCAGCATGCTCCACTCTCTCACCACTTGCACAGTAAAGAATCTTTTTCCTATTATCTAATGTAAACCTAACCCATTTCATTTTGAGGCCTCTCCCCCTTGTTCTGTCACTACATGCTCTTGTAAAAACGCCCTCTCCTGCTTTTTTGTGAGCTCCCTTCAGGTACTGGAAGGCCACAGTTAGGTCACCCCAAAGCCTTCCCTTCTCCAGGCTGAGCAATCCTAATTATCTCAGCCTTTCCCCATAGGAGAGGAGCTCCCTCCCTCTGATCACTTTGATATCCCTCCTCTGCACTCTCTCCAGCAGCTCCAGGTCCTTCCTGTGCTGGGACCCCACTCACCAGAGCGGGGCAGAGGGGCAGAATCCCCTCCCTGCCTCCCCTGCTGCCCACGGGGCTCTGGATGCAGCCCAGGACACACTTGGCTCTCTGGGCTGGGAGTGCCCATGGCTGGCTCATGGCCAGCTCTCATCCAGCAGTGTTTTACTTCCACCATGTTTTACAAACATTACTCCTTTATTACTCTGTTTTTATTATATTTAAAAGCATAACATTATGAATGAGATTATTTTTTCTTCAGTATTCCTGAAATTTGTGGAGTTATGAGATTTCTCCATAACAAGCTCCTAGTGAGAGACATCTGTCTATTAAATAGCAATACCACTTCAGCCCTTCTCAACTGCAGACCCCTCAATAAATCCTTTCTTTCCTACAGCATAAGTTATTCTAGGTAAAATTTTTTCTGAATTAAATTGGAATAATTCACCTGGTCTGGGTATCATACCTATTTAAATATCTAAAAACTCACCTGGGAAGACTATCTCAGATTGAAAGACAGGTGTCTGCCAAGGAAGGTGGAAACGTCCCTTGAAATGGAAAATATGACCCCCTTCTCTCCAAAATATTGTAACTTTGGAATTCAGGGGCTTTCAGGCAAAGACATGGGAAAAGGAGTAACAGTTCTGTACTAGTATGTATGTGTATAGCAAGGCAAAGGAACAACAACAGCAGCAACAATGGACAGAAAAGCAGAAAACCCAATGAAGTCTCTGCCCGCTCCCCGAGAGCTTCCCTCAGTGCAGTTCCGGGCACGGCCGGCAGGGGCGCTGCTGGCTCCCGGCGGGCAGCACGGGTGTGGTGATTCCGCCGCGCCGGCAGGGGGCGCTGTGGCGCGGGGGCTCAGCCACAGCTCCCTCACCAGGCCACGGCTGTGGCTGGGTGGTGGCGCGGGCTGCAGCCGGAACCTCGGAGCAGCGGCTGGCATGGCAGTGGCAGGCACGCCCTCTGCAGCGGCCAAAAAAATGTGACAGAAAACTCCACAACATTAGCAGGAGCTGTGGGGGCTCGGGTGGGTGCGGGCTGCTGGGTTAGTGTAGGGGAAAAGGCCGAGGCAGCGGCAGAAGGCAGCGGTGCTGGGTGCTGGCAGCCAGGCTTCTCTGCAGCCACTGCCACACGCAGTCGGGGAGAGGCGGCCGCTGGGAAGGGAGAGGGCTCAGCATCCCGGGTTTCGCTCTGAAGCACCCTGAGAGATGGTGAGAATCCTTTCCAGTGAGGCAGAGTGCCAATAAGGTCCCAGTTCAATGGCTGCTGTTACGAAAAAGGATTACCCTCAGTAGGGAATAAGCAGTGGGAGGAAAAATGTTCCATAGTGGCAACAAATCCTCTAAGCAGGGACCCCGGAGCGGCTGTCCCTCTTTCAGTGCCAAGAGCAAGAGAGCTAGGAGCTGCCCCCAGCCCCTTCACCCCAGCCTAAAGTCTCACAGCATCTCTGCCCTTCCCAAGAGAAAAGCTCTCAGGTAAGAATATAGCCAGCTTCATTCCTTCCTCTTCTCCTTAGCTGCATCTTTTGTCTCTCTGTACCAGTCGTTACTGCCTATTGCAACGAATGGCAGCAAATTCTCTCAGGGAAATAAAAAAAGGGAAAAATCTTAAGCCTCCAACATAGGTGGATGGATCGGCATCAAAATAAATTCAGTCACCAACCCATCTGATTAGAAATATAAAGCACTAATTATTGGTATTATCACTTACATTAATTGTTCTTGCAACTCTTCCATCAGAAAATTCACAAACTCAAAATCATTATTTAAGACTGAGATTCCCCAAAGGTAACTGAATGAAAAACTTTAAAAGGTCAGTATTGTTTAGGCTGGGACCTGAGTCACAATGGATAGTACTACACAATCTAACAATTGCTTGCATCCTAACATTATTTTTATATTTACACATTTGTTTTGTCTGCTGCCATCAATTACTTTTTATGTCATTTTCTAATAAAGCGCAGAAGGATTTCATAATTACTGCATATCAAATAGTTGTTTCTGGTGGATTATCAGTCCCACTAAATCCCCCGTTACTATTTTCCTTTTTTGGGGAACTTTGAATGTTATCTTAAACTGTCACATCAAAAATCCAATTCCAAGTGTCTTGTTTCTCACAGCATCCAACAGGTATTTAAGAAAAGAATATACTAAACAGTGAGAACAGCTCTTCCAGCTCTAGTAACTACAGATGTATGAATTCCTGGCCTAAGGATTACAGCCAGGACCACCACTTTAGAGGTCACTAATACAGTTACCTCTTTTGTAAACCAATTCTGTCTGGTCACAACAGTGTTATGGGGCAATGATTAAGTTATACAATACCATGAAAAAGCATGCTTTCTACCTTGTAGACATCTGTTAGTCAGTCATAACTTCTTTACTGTCAAATATCATAAATTTATTTCTTATGTACTTTTTTCCATAGTTTTTGATTTCTTATTCATGTCACTTTTTAAATTAATTTCTCTTTTGAAAAGTTAGATGTTCCAGTCAGTGTGTCCTGGGCTTTAGTTTACATTAACCAAAGAAAAGTGCAAAAATTTCATCCTGAATAACCTTCAACATCCAGAATTTCCTGCTCTGTATATGTCTGATCTTTTCTATCTGGAATTCATTTCAAGAGGGGGTAAAAAGAAAATTAAAACAGTGTGAAGGAAAAAATAAAAACTACTACAACAACTCCTTGTAGTTGTTTTCCAAAAAGCCATGATAAACCTGTTATTATCACAACTTTTATTCTTGAGTTTTAGGGACTCCTTTCTCTAAAAAGGTACAAGTAGTTTATTAAAATATGACTTATGCAGCTTTGTGAGATAACATTTCATAAAAGCAACATATGAGTGATGATAAAAAAGAAAGGAAAATATCTCCTGTGAGAAAGTACTTTAGGTAGTTGACTTTTTCAGAAGCATTCATGAGAAACAAATTCACCAGGCAGACACTAAAAACAAAGGATACTTACAAGTGGGACAATACAAAATACACTGCCTCAAATATTGCTGTATGAGTGTCACCTTTTTTCAGGGTTTTTACAGCATGATTGAAACTAAGTTAAAATAAACCCATCAATTTGAGAATCTAGATAAATTTTCATTTGCATAAATAGGCTCCAAGTAACCGAGAGCTAATGCAAACAATAGTATTGTCTGCAGTTTATCCTGTGATAAATAGGAGGAAAATGCTGTAATAAAAAAGATCATAATTATCCACAGCTCTCAGTTTACAATTAGTTTCCTCTGACAGTATAAGTCATAAATGCCAGCTTTAATCATGTGTTCGAGTTGATTTAGGTGCTGCCAACACTGCAAGAGATCTAATCCTCTTTCTTTCCTTCTCATAATGAAATAATAATGCAAATTCACCACATTGATGGGATGACCCATGTGAATTTATTATAGGCTTGGAGAAGTCTCTTGAAATGGATAAATTCTTTCTGGGTACAGACTTGAGGTAATTCAAACCAGACAAGAAAAAAAATGGAGCTGTCATCAGAGGCCAGGATATGGAATGGATTTAATTTGTATGAATAGGCTTTTTAATAAGTATAACACGGCTAAGCTCCAGCTTTACTATGGGAATATTACTGCTGTCATTTTCCAAATCTGGATGCACTAACTTTATTTGAGGGATGACGATGAGCTCCAAGCCTCAATTCTAGTTATACTGCAGCTTGCAGCAGACATAAAGATGCACAGTGGGTAGGCCCAGTGACCAGATCTTCTAATTATTCGGGTTAAGACAAATGGAACAATTAACTCCTCATAAAACCATTTGTGGTACTCAATGACACATACCAACCTTTCTTGTAGAACAAACTCTACCTTTTAGTTAATGTTCAGATTTTTATCAGGTAAGGTTTGTTGTCAGTATGATAGAATACTTAATTATTTTAACTTCCAAGGGCCTTTTCAGCAACTGAAAAGATATAACACTATGCAAAAGGGTAATTTTTCTCAGTAAATAAACAGATCAAGAACATAGAGATTGAAACTAAAAATTACACAATACAGCCGTAAGTTTTAACCATGTATTACATCACCACAAGATACAGCCCAATTAGTGAAACAAAAAGATTTCCAAGCCAAAAAGAAAGTCTTAATTTCACTAAGCAACTGTCAGAAGTTTCAGGCTATCTCTGTGGGGTTCACAGACATCATTACCACTACTCTATTTTATGAAACTACTGTTCTGGCCACAGCAGGTTGCCCACGTTACTAACACTAGATTTCCATAGAAAAGACAAGGCAAAACCAATAGTACAGCTTTAAAGAGACATAACAAAATGAACCTCTTTCTTTTTACTTTTTAATTGTATAAATTATCTAAAGCATGTTTTCAGGTTACTCAAACAGAACCAATTTTCTCTACAAACATAATGAAAGCAGTCTTTCTCATTTGTCTAGAGTACAAACAAATTCTTAACCCAAAAAACTAATGTTGCTCACAGTCTTGCCAAGACATTTAGTTTTCTGCTTTAAGAGCTATAAAAATGGCCTTGTTGGATGAGCAAAATGAAAACCAATGCTGAAAGATCTATTTATTACCATGCTATGCAAAGTAATATAATAATTTACTTCACCTATAATTTTCAGTTTCATGTTCTGCTCAGCCTAGCATGCCTAAAAGTTTCCTCTTAGTTTTGTTAGAACAAGAATGCATTGCATTTCTGCTGTATGGTGTCAAGCTTTCTAGATATTATTTATCAGCAGCTACAACTTTTTTCCCTTTATCATTTAAAGTCTTCAGTGTTTTAACATTTCAGATTAAATACTTAGTGCAGAAATTTTGTCATTTAATTAAGTAATTATTTATTTAAATGACCATTTAAATTCAAAACAAGGGATAATGAAGGGTACAAAGCACCAGGTATGTTTGGAAGAAATAAATTTTCACTTTACTCCTTTGACCACTTAGTTATGTGAACTGTTTCATGGAACTATAATACCTGGATACTTATGTTCATTTTGGGCACAAAATAGTTCTGATACATTAAGAATTTGCAGGAGCGGGAGTTGGTATAACAATGATAAAGTAATAAACTTTGTTAAAAGCTGATTGTAGTTGTTACAAGATCTGTATTTTCAATCTGCATTGTGGTACCAAAACATATATATGCATGCAGACATGTTGATAGGATATATGTGTAAAACAAAAAAGATTAGTGAACAGAGTTATTTTTGAGAAATAAATAATTCATATTTAACAATAATAGGAGTGGGTTATTCACAAGGTAGATACAGGGGCTCTGTGAATTCCAATATTAAGTCATCATTTTGCACAGTATCTAGTACCATATATGGCCACTAAATTCAACCAGAATGAATACTAGGATCATACAGATGTTGTTGCAATTGATTAAACAAGCTCTTGAAGCTGACAGTAGAAAATGTCTGATTGAATGGTCACCTTGTAAATAACCTGCAGAAAAATTAATTTATTCATACTTTACACTAGCATATACAAGCATGTCACTCACTATTTCAGGAGTGTTATAAGATTTTCTTCCTACAGAAAGATATACATCATGCTATAATTAATGAATCCAAGCTTTTCTGAATCAACTGCACTGCATTTTATGAAAAATATGCTTTAAACAGCTTTCTATAATAGTGTAATCTACTCCAAAATTTCTTACGCTTAATCTTTGATATATAATTTTGCATCACGCTATTCATCTGATAACCAACTTTTTTAAAGTTCCATCTGTCAATTTTTTAAAAAAATATCCCTTGTCCTTTCTAATTCCACTCTTTTGAATTGGAGCTTTTGCTGATGTCACTTAAATGCACGTCTACCTGATAGGTCTCACCAATGCCATTAGTCTGTTCCAGCCATGTTCTCTGACTCTACTGGAACAGACTGCATTCTTTTATGGAATATGTGGCCCCTGCATCTTTTACCAGATGGGTCAATATTCATATCACTTGATGGTGAAAGATTGTAGTGCCTGTAGAGGACAGCTAGGGAAACAAAAACTCTGGAAACTCCAGTGAGAGATTGAGGTCTAGACTTACAGCTTTTCCAAATGTCTGCCAGTTTTCTCAGATTTTTGTGTAGAAGGCATGAGACCGCATATGGGGACCCTTGGAAACTTAAATATAGCTAGTAACATCCTGGCATCTGTGAAAAACAAAAGTTTCTAATGAATTTTTTCAGGTCCCAGGTCCTGCCTAGGAAAATACTTTGGACAGTACTTAAATAATCAGTGCATTTGTTATTCTAGCAGTAACTTTTACAACTACAATGCTTTCTAGAGAAAGTCTTTATTATTTGCCTGGTTTTCACATATATTTATTTTTAGTAGCTTTATTATAGTTTTCTAAATATGACTGTCATATTTGGATATCTTTTTCTGGATATTTGTCTGCTTTTGCTTAGGTTTTCATTACATTCTCTAGATACCACTATTTCATATTTTTTTAATTCCTTTTTTGCAATGAAGATTAAATTTATTTTCATTTTTATTTTTCCCT